AAGCAACGGGAGGCCACCGGGGGGAGGGAGGCCCCGCCGCCGCCGCTGCCGCCTCAGGCCGCTGGGCCCAACGGGTCTGGGTCCGGCCGGCGGCCAGCCCGCCTTGTCGCCGCGGGCAGGCGGCCGGGGCTCGCCCCAGGACAACGATAAAACGTCCTCCGGGCTTAATTTCCCAGAAAAAGGCTTCTCTGTTTTTCTTATTAGCTGGCAGTAATGGTCAAACGTTATTTTGAGTTCGGCTTTTTTTTTATTTATTTATTTTAATTTCCTCCCCTTCCTATGGTAATTGCAGAAATTAAACTTCTTCTCAAAGGTTGGTTTGTGTTGTTTTGGTTTTGGTTTGTTGTTTTTTTTTTAATTATTACCATAACTCCTGAACGTGCTTTTAAATTAAACTAATAGAATCACTGATGAGTTTCAGCAGAAATATTTTGCTTGACAATTTCCCTTCGCTCATTTCGAAATGAAAGTCCACTTTAATGTGAAGCCTGTCTGGTTTTTTACCTTATTAAATAATACAGAGAACATCTTATACCTACTTAGTTAAGGGTGTTTGGCTTTGGGTTTTGGGGTTTTGGGTTTTTTTTTTCTTTTTTTTCCTCTCCCCGAATAGATCTAAAGTGTGAATTATTATGAAAGAAGCAAATTGAGTGGTCGAGGTGGGGAAAAAAGCCAAGCATTAATGGCCAGGTCTGTGTCACTGCTGTGCCTGCAGCTCCCAGCACAAGGGGGCTCCGCTCTTCATTAGGAGTCCTGGGGACACCCAGTTAATTACAGTAATTACTAAATAGAAAGAACTACTGGTCTAACAAGGTACAGATTCAGCGGGCCCGGTTTTTAAGTTCTGCTGTTGTTGTTGTCGTCGTCAATTACCACTGAACTACCCGAGGGATTTGCCTTTCAGGTTATGAGGACGCAGTTGCTGAATCCTCAGTATTTTGATAGTGAAAATGATACGCAGACACGTGAAAAATGTGCATCTGTTTTTAAAGATAGGAGAGTCTCTGCCTCTTAGGTTTGCAACGTGGACATATTTAGATAGGTGCCCTGTAACCTGGGGGTTATATTTATTTACAGTTAGATGTTAAATCTTTCCTTATCCTTCTAGGCAGGAGATACTTCTGAAACTGCAGGTATGAGTTATCTGAAACTTTCTTCATGATTTTTTTTTTTTGCTTTGCCTCATTTTTCAAAAAAAATTGTTAGTGTCGTAGATTAGGCTGCGAGGGTTGTTTGTTTTTTTTTTCCCATATGAGTTTTAAAAAGTTACATGCATTTACAGATGACAGTAGTAAAGTTACTGTGGTTTTCAGCTGTGCAAACGCAGCAGTGCTATGGTACAAAGTCAGGGTGTTGTTAATTTAATCCGAATTTTTAATGTTTTAGAGGCTACTGCGTTGAGGTTATTTTCCAATGGCTGTTTGGCACAGCGGGGCCCGTACCTCCTGGCTGAGGTGGCACATTGAAACATCTCTGCCGTGGATCGAGATAAAATAGCGCGGCACTTGTCCCGAAGCACGAATGTGGAGGACTTTTAATTGTGT